ACTACTACTACTACTACTACTACGACTACGACTACGACTACGACTACGACTACGACTACTACTTCTACTACTACTACTACTACTACTACTACTACTACTACTACTACTACGACTACGACTACGACTACGACTACGACTACGACTACGACTACGCCTACGACTACGATTACGACTACGACTACGACTACGACCACGAGTACGACTACGACGGTGGCTACGACTACGACTGACGCTACGACTTATTACTCGGGCGAACAGCTAATCCAATTACCAATCCAGCTCGTCATCACCCACGGGACTTAATGAAATTTGACTCGCAACGTGTCCTGGACCCCAGAGCTTTCAGCAGGACCAGTTCTTCGCCCTGGGCCGTTGTCTAATGGTCCCAAGGCCCGAGAAAGGTCCCGGCAGACCGAACACCGCGGAAAATCTCCAGAACGCCCTTCCCTCCAAGACGCAAGGCCCTCCGAATAGACGATACAAACGAGAACCAGCCGGACCCACAACGAAACTGAAACCGACAAGCGGCAAGCAGCCCAGAAGGTCGCAGCGACGCAGCAACGACAGGAAAACGGACCGAACTGGACCGAATGCACACAGCCGACTGCGACGCACGCGAGCAGACCGAACCGCGAACAGTGTTGACAAGACCCGTGATTCCTGGACCCCTTCTCCTCCCATGAGATGGATCGTCGTGAAAGATCGCAACCTCGTGAGAAATCACAGCGAGAATCTCAGACCCAGCCTTCCTGCGGCACGCCTCGAGCCGCGTCGATCCGCGAGGGCCCCCCCCGCAGCCTGAAAACAAGCGAAGAAGCCCAGCGTGAACAAATTCCGACGCCAGGATTGGGCGGCGCGCACAAGGGGGTGGAGGGAGGGGGGAGGGCTTCTTAGAAGAAGGCTGCTTCTTAGAAGGCGCCGGCCTTACATCTCTAGAGAGGGCCCGCGCCTTCTAAGAAGCAGGGGTGCTTCTAAGAAGCCTTCCCCCCTCCCCCTACCCCCCTGTGCGCGCCGCCAAAGGATCTCATGCCCTTTTCGATTACATCCTCAGGACGCATGCTGGCGCCGACGTGTGCTCGTCCACCGAAGCCCCCTTCCGCACGGTGCCGGCGATGCGACGAGAGCCGACTGCAGCCGCGCGCTACCCGTGGAGCTGAACGGGGTAAAGACACTTTTTTGGGGGTCGCGGGCGGACGCGGAATCGCAGTCGCCGAGCTGAAAGGTCCGGGCCACGGGCCTATCAAATTAGCAACGCGCGAGCCTAAGAGCACAGCGGCCGAGCCCGGAATCAGAACCTACCGCCGGTGGGCCGCAGGCGGGGTAAAGACACACACACACACACTTTTTGGCGTCGCGGCCCAGCGCGCGGCGACGGGGCGTACAAGGTTAGAGCACAATGAGGCGCGCGCGTCTACGCCCGGCCGAGCACTCGCACACACACACACACATACATACACATACACACAGTCTCTTAGCCAGCGGCGCAGAGGATCCTCAGACGCGGGCAGCAGATGGAGGTGCTAATGGTAACCGAACATTGTCAATAGTGCAGCGTGCAGCAGCACAGAGCAGCATGCAAGTGATGGGTGTAAAGAGGAACTGCAGGTCCAAGCGAACGTGCAGCGGCTAGAAGACACACACACACACACACACACGCACACGCACACACCGGGCTGACACACGTCCATCGGATCATCGACCGTTCCCTCCACGGCGCGCAGGGACCGAGGAGATCGGAGGACCCTCCGCCGGCCGCGCGGCGTCTCCCCGATCATCTGCTTCTGCACGGAGGCCGGCGCCGCCGCGAGGGCGGCGGCGGACAGCCCGCCGCCGCCAGCCGCCTGCGGCGTGGCGGAGGCTGCGGGGGAGAGGGCGGTCAGAGACGTCCGGCAGCACGACTGCTCAACCCGGGCGGCTCTCG